CAGAGAGTCAGCATATTGCCCCCAACAATCTGGGTCCTCATTTTACCCACCTCGGAAGGATGGAAGGCTGAGTCAACCCTGAGCCGGTGGGATTTGAACCGCTGAACTGCTGATCTAGCAGTAGCCAGGAGTGCTGCATTTAACCACTGCGCCACCTCGGCTCGAAACCCACCACTGTTTTGCACCTACTGCGATTAAATTTTACAGTCATCACTAGCAAGTGATCCTTCACTGGGAACAGCCACTCTATTTATTTAAACCTTGGTCTTTATGTCCTGAATTCTCCCCTGTGGAAACTCAATGCTTATAGGTAGAATTATTAAATAAGATTAAGATTCTCCAAAAATTACCAATCAGTAGATCCATTACTATCAAATAATTCTATCCCAATAATGCCCAAGTAAATAGATGAACTAAAGACCAATTTCATAAACATTGGCATGTGTTGTACATAGGTTTTCAGAGAATATCAACTAGAGAAATTAAACTTTCACACTGATGATTTACTTAACAAAAGTATATTAATATTTTACAACAAAACATGGGGGGGAATGCAAATCAAGCTTTTGATATTTCTCATTATTCCTCTTGTCATTTGGATTACCACAATATTCATAATTAGAAAATAAATTTCATACTTCATTTTTTCTGCACTCATATTTACATTTAAAATTTATTAAAAATCATACAATTGATATTTTTATCCATTATGTTTAAGCCCCAAAACTTACCCTTTTCCTTCAACTATTGCTTCTTTAAGTTGTATATAGGAAGAAGGAAAGATGCCCTTTTAAATAAGAAAAATAAATTATCAATTTATTTGCAATATGCCTAGTAGACTTTTTAACTATAATATTTTTCTAGTGATCCATTTTAGAATATAAACATCCCCAGAACAATTGGCCCAAATAATAAGGAATATAATCTGAAATATTAGGAGAATCTCAAATAAGACCATTCCATTGGTCTATGTTGATTGATTATACTATTGTCCTTTATTTTTGGGTGACCTATGAAAAGTGTTCAATAAGATTTTCTTTTTTAAAAAAACCCAACAACCTTACTGAGCCTTTGGTCATAATTGAAAATAATGTTTCATTGATAATAACCAGTTTCAGAAGCTAGTAATAGTTTAGCTCTAAAAAATTTACAGTTGTCCTAAACAGTGAGCCCAAACAAACCTTATATTCTACTCCATCAACTTCTCTTCTACTAATGTATGTAGGGAAAGAGTTTGGAATTTTTATTTCCACTTTACCAGTTACCTATTGTTGAACTAATGCACTGTAACACTGAATAAAAGCTTAAATCACATTGACAAGCCTTCATTCCATAAACTCCCCCTCCTTATCCTTATAAACTGTGTTATCTTCTAATATATTTTAATAATTATCTAATTTAAAAAGGAAGCAATTTCAATTAAACATGTTCCTTTACATTGAAATCCAGAACTTCACATTATTTTTAAAGCAAAACGTAAGTACCAATAAAGCCTTGTAATCAATCTTATATGTTTTTGAAGATAGATGTAAAATATAATGGATCTATCTACTACTTTTCAAAAAGTAAAGACAACAAATTCATGTTGTATTTGTTTGAAAAAAAGTAATGTTAAAGTAGCATTAGTTGATTAAAAGTTTTATTTCATCAACATTTCTGCTTTAATCTAAAAAGTTCCAAATTATAATAAAACACTTTGGAGGTTACTCTAAATGCCTATGATTTTTTTTTTAAAAAAAAGTGATGTCATTAATACAGAAACAAAATACTTACTTTTTTTGATTTTTTCCTCAAAGTATAACCTCTGTACCAACCTAAAAAGTAAAATGTCTTAATAAGTTTTATATAATTAATTTGGAAATAAGAATGCCAATATATATTATCATTCATATTGTGATGTATCTTTGTAATATAAGGGCACTTTATTAATAGTTAATTTCCTGATTTCTGGTTCCTTAACAAAAAATTATAGATTGACAAGTAACTGAGAAAATCCCTTTATTATAATTTAAATTATTCAACATAATTTTATTCAATATAATCATAGAAAGATTAAACCTCACCTCTACAAGGACAATAATTCCCATTGTCCAGTGTTTGCCTACAATCTAATAGAAAACTAAACATGGAGGTTTATACAATGAATTAATATATCATGTGATGTCACTAAAACTTAAAACACCATATAATGTCAAAGTTTCTCATAAATTCAAGTAAGAAACTTTAAGCCAAGCAAGTCCAACCCACACCTCTTTGGCCATATACAACCCTGGGCAGCTAGTAATCAGCCTCAGAAGACCATAAATGTTTAACATTATATAATTTCTATACATTAACTATGTAACAGGAAGAAATCCAGATTAGGATGATTGTCCTACATCTTTTTTTACATAAATGCATTTTCAATTAGAAAAAGAGAACTGGATCACTGTGATCAGTATCTATTCAAAATATAATATGGTTTGTTTTTACACTGCTTCATTAAACATCCAAACCTTGAGAATCAACATCTATAGAAAAGGTCTACTCATTTCTCATTAGGGACAAAGTTCCATTTCCATAAAGCATAAAATAATTGAGTCATGTCAGTTGCATAACCCAGCTCCCAACAGGCCATGGACTGGCACTGGGCCAGGGGCTGTGGGCCCCTGGTTTATAGCAAGTTATTTAAAATTTACACACGTTGTATACTGAAATATTTTGCTCAAAAATAAATGTGTTACTCAAGCTAGATTCTCCTTCTACTTTCCTCATATTTTTCTGCATGGATAAGACCTTTCCTTCTCCCAATTTTAATTCTACAGTGATACCTCAGATATTTTTCAGGTTGCCTTCACTGACTATATATTGTAGTATAATTACAGTGTATTAAAACTTTTTTCACATTTGGGGAAACAACATGTCATACTCTAGAAATAAGTGGTAATGTCTCATTTACTATGTCCCAATCTGCAGCACATCTGCAAGTGATCAGCATCATGTGTTTTTATTGCTAACAAGCCCATTCTAGTTTAGGATAAGTTTTTAATTAAAATAAAATCTCACAAACAATAAACATCATGGTGCTATGTCAAACAAATTGGGAGATCTTTCACACAAAATATATCCATTCAGCACAGATTTGGCAGGAAACTTTGCATTGTAAACTGTTATATATGCCAGGCTAAGGGAGTTCAAACAAATGAGGGTTTACTGTACCTGGGGCCCATTCTGTAATCATTGCTATAGTTTTTCAAATTTGCTTGCTGATTCATTTCCGTATTCTCCCTCTATCTCTGGTTTTATCCTTTTAACTTGTTCCTCCCAATATTTCTATCATTTCATTCTTTTCTCTTTCCTTTATTCCTTTTTAATCGGTTGCTTCTTGATAGGAATTCCACACTGAATATATTGTCTTTAGTTTTCTCTGTCATGACTCAGGCCCAGGACTCAGATTCTGAATCTGAAGAAGCTACTCAAGCTAAACCTGTGGAATGTCAGTCTCAGGAGACACCAAGTCAATAATCACATAAGGGTGATTAGTACAAGCACCACCAGAACAACTTGAGCAGTCAGGTGAGGATGATGTACTCCCTTCCAGCCTGCCACCCAACAAGCAAGTAGAGAGGAGAGACTTTCCATAAGGCTATTTGTCAAGCAAGGGAGTAACTCTCTGAAACAGTTTGCTCAGCCTGTTACAAGAAGCTTGTCTGACATATGTTCCGTTTCTGAAAATAATCTGATCTTCAGCTCTTGTGTGACATTTTTGTGAATTCTCTTCGTATAATTCTGAACTTTACATTGGCTGACAAACAATGACTTAGCTCTCAGAACCTTGGACTTAATCTGGACAATTCTGCTGTGCGTTCCCATTAAAAAGCATTTTTAAAGCAAGCTACTGTCAGAAATTCCATTCCGGTTTGCATGCGTTTGCTATCTCTTGACCTGTAGGAGATGACCAGGCTGAGCCTAAGGGAGAAGTGCAATGCATCATCAGTCATGATGAGTCCCTTCATGCCCACAAGAGGTCTAAATCCAGTTCACCTTGAATTCCTTATTTACCACCAAATTGCTTTAACTGCTAGTAGTTCGGATTCTTGTAGAGAGCTTAAGCTTGCCATAAATCTTTATACCCATTTGAACTGTCTGGATCTCCTGATTTCTCTAGTACTTGTCATGACTTTAAGAGAACTATGAACCATCATAGCAATTGTGTTTGAGTGGGAAACTTGAGAACAGAAGCAAGACACTCTTCTTTCTTTTATTTTGGCTACAGTATTACTGCAGGTGGAAGGCGAATAGAGAAGAGAGAATTTTGTTCTGTAATCTAAGGCAGTGGTTCCCAAACTTGGCAACTTTAAGACTTGTGGACTTCAACTCCCAGAATTCTCCAGCCAGCAGAGCAAACTTGGCAACTTTAAGACTTGTGGACTTCAACTCCCAGAATTCTCCAGCCAGCAGAGCAAACTTGCCAACTTTAAGACTTGTGGACTTCAACTCCCAGAATTCTCCAGCCAGCAGAGCCACTGATCTAAGGGTTATCTTAAATATCAACACATCAACTGATTTATTTTGGAGTACTCTAGCAAGAAGGTTGCTATTAAAATAGAATAAAGAAGCTACCCTTCTCTTGAAAATATATTCACTTGCTGAAATATTAAGGAACGGGATCAAAATTGCTAATATAAATCATATATAGTACATTTTATATTAGCAAACTATATTTGCTAATAAAAATGTACTATATTCAGTACGATCACAGTAATTGGTGATATTATGGTTGGATACATAGAACAATTATATGTGGACTTAAATAAATAGTGGTTTAATGTTATACATCAGCATATGTCAAGGAATCATTACGATATTGCCAGAATATTATCTTAATCCTATAACAATCCCCTTTTCCTACAGAAAAGCTCCTGCTGCTATCAGTCTTATTAAACGCTAACATTATGGTTATCAGAATTAACTGGAAGTACAGCTGAGGAAGAATATATTTTCTCACAGACCTAGACTGCCTTCCTCTTATTTCACCGTTGCAACCTACAGGTGGGGAGGGGGGAAGCTGAATGCAGAATTAAGTTCATATCAGTATCACAGACAAAAAACTGAGCCATAGTCTCTATTATACGGTATGTAGCGATATAAATTAATCAGTTCCAGAAACTCAGATGTGCATTATAAATCACAATGGGAACTGTAGTATATGAATCAACTATATCCAACCACTGACTGAAGCAAGTAACTAAATTACTTACCTTTATTAAAGGATAAATAATTTATTATGGCAAATAACCACTTTACTATATGTTACGAACCAATATCAATTTCAATTTTGCATACAGATGATTTTTTTTAAGAAGGATGACATAATTTAACCATAGTCTTCTGATGTAACCTCCATACTGGGATTATGATTCCATTTTTTCATGTATTTAAATCCATATATAAATGACTGACATACAACCAGTTAAATCTCATCAAACTAAATTACTAAAATAATTCACCCTTTCAACATTAAAATATGTATAGGCTTCACAAAACCACGTAATTCATAATTTTACTAAATATCATTTAAAATAATTCTTAATGTATTCAACTGCGATAAACCTTTAGCATGAGCATTTTCTCAAGTGCCAAGATCTTCAAAAGCATAACTAACCAAAATTAATGGTCGTAATTTTCCTGCTTTAAGCATATTTAAATATTTCTAAATATTTAGCTATCAGTTAGTATTTAGTTATGCAGGAAGCAAAACCATACCAAAAATATTTAAAAAGACATTCCTTAATTATCAGTTGATATTACAGCTGACATTTAAAAAAAACTGTATGCATGCATTGTCCTTTCTAGTTAGGAAAATATTACTGTGAGTAAATTTATCATCTTGATTAAATATCATATAGTAAAGTTGATTTACAAATATTTTATTAACTAATCAATAAAAACAAAATATTACATGATTAAAACATTGTTAGCTAGAATTATTAAATAAGATTAAGATTCTCCAAAAATTAATAATAAGTAGATCCATTACTATCAAATTATTCTATCATATTTTATCAACTATTAACTTTCCTGACAAATAATATTCAAGCATCAGACACTTAGATCAGATAATATACAGTTCAGCTTCAACAAAAGCATTATTTCTCTAGGTTAAATGAAGATTTCTAGTACTTGATCTGAAAAAAAAAGATGCATATATGGTGGCTGTTTCCTAAATTAACTTTTAAACTTAGTAATATTTATTACTTGAATTCAAAATCCTCATGAAGTAATAACTGTCATTACATTTTAAATGTGTACATTTTCAATTGTGGTTTTTTTACTGCTGTATGCCACCCAACCTAACTCTCTTTGTTGGATGGCCATTTAAATTTGTTTAATGAATAGTAAAAGTTTATTTAGAAAACAGCCATTTCTTCTTCTTGACTAATGCATTTGTCATTTATTTTGTGGAGATGTTTTACACTTTGATATTTTTATGCTAAAACATGTAGGCAATTATGTATTACAAAGAAATGAATTGCAAATGTTTTATCAGATTGGCAAATTTAACTTTAAAGCTCCACCTAACTTGAGGAGTGAATAATTCTGCAAATAATGCAAAATACATATAGCCGTCCCAAATATACTACTTTAGTGTTGTAGAGGCAATACTCAGAAAATTATACTCAAGCAGACCTTAAGAATAGAAATAGCACTTAGACTTATATACCGCTTTGTAGTGCTTTACAGCCCACTCTAAGCAGTTTTGCAGAGTCAGCATATTACAATCTGGGACCCCATTTTACCAATCTCAGAAGAATGGAAGGCTGAGTCAACCTTGAGCTGGTCAGGATGGAACTCCTGGCTGTGGGCAGAGTGAGCCTACAATACTGCATTCTAACCACTGCCCATCGCGGTTCATAATAGCAAACAACAACTTTGCTTTAGAGTAGTTTAGACATTGCACAGTGCTATCTTAAAACAATTGATATTTGACAACATCTGTAAAACTAAAAACTTTTCTCTAGTTTAACAGCCTGATTTGACCTTAATTCTTTATTCAGCTTTTTTTTTAGATTTCATTTACAATCTACTTGTCTTCCTTAACATAGATAGGAAGGGAATTCTGAGTATGACCTCTAAACCAAAGTAGTTCACACAAAATTTATCTGGCTAATTTCAAAAAACTAAACAGATCAGGTTAGATCAAGGATATACGTTGAATTAGGATACATCAAGAAATAAGCCTATAAGCTAAAATGAGAAGTTGAAAAAAATATAAGACAATGGCAAAACACTACCACACTATTTCCCCCAAAAAATTACATGTCATGTCCACAAAGTCATGAGCTGAGCTAAAGCACAAAATATTTTTCTCTTATTGTACTTTAGAAATAGTATAAAGAAATAATTAAATTAAAACAGAGTTGCATAGGTCCACTTAGGCACATAAAGTTAACACATCCTTCCATCCTTCCGAAGTCGGTAAAATGAGGACCCAGATTGTTGGGGGAAATATGCTGACTTTATAAACCGCTTAGAGAGGGCTGTAAAAGCACTGTGAAGTGGTCTAAATGCTATAGCTATAAGACCATTAGAATGGCATAGAATCCATGAGTATAAAACATACACTCATACAACTATCATCATTATCCAGCAATCAAACAATGAAGCTTGACTTTTAGAAAAAAGCATATAGAAAATGAAAGTAAGAATACATATCATTTGCCACCCAAAAGACACATTACTATGAATATTGTAAGCAAGTAATCTTTGCTAGCTTACAATACTGTAGCAATAGCAATAGTTAGACTTATATACCGCTTTGTAGTGCTTTACAGCCCACTCTAAGCAGTTTTGCGAGTCAGCATATTGACCCCAACAATCTGGGTCCTCATTTTACCCACCTCGGAAGGATGGAAGGCTGAGTCAACCTTGAGCCTGGTGGGATTTGAACAGCCGAACTTGAGCCTGGTGGGATTTGAACAGCCGAACTGCTGAACTGCAGTCAGCTGAAGTAGCCTGCAGTACTGCATTTAACCACTGCGTCACCTCGAAGATGTATCAATGGAAACATCTTCCATTTATGGCTAGAAGTTAGAGAAAAAGGAGAAAAGGAAGAGCAAACAAATGTATATATTGATGAAAAAGAAAATAATTCTAGCAAGAGCTAACTGGGAAGGGGTAGTAGGAGTAGTAGAGGAGAATTGATAACATTGATAAAGGAGTGCAGCATTGTATTTACAGATACAAGGAGACTGAAAAACAATCCATTCGAAGGTAGGTAAGCACAGCTGGATGCAAGAGAAAGAATGAAGAGATAGCCTCCTATCTCACTATAGTGAAAATTCCTGGGTACAAATCCCAATTCAAGAATGGAGATTTTAATTTGGCAAATCATTTTCACCTTAACTGATTTCACAGAGCTGCTAAGAAAACAATAGCAATAGCAGTTAGACTTATATACCGCTTCATGGGGCTTTCAGCCCTCTCTAAGCGGTTTACAGAGTCAGCATATCGCCCCCACAGTCTGGGTCCTCATTTCACCCACCTCGGAAGGATGGAAGGCTGAGTCAACCCTGAGCCGGTGAGATTTGAACAGCTGAACTGCAGAACTGCAGTCAGCTGAAGTGGCCTGCAGTACTGCACCCTGACCACTGCGCCACCTCGGCTCCTTAGTATGCTAATTAAATTAACAATTCAACTCTAAAAAGAAAAATCTAATCAGAATATATGTACAATGAAAAAAGTTTGACAAAAATTGACAACATACGATAAAGCTGTATAGTAGTAAAATTAAAATGAACTTTTATCTACAATTATTTTAATTAGGAATATATTAAGACAATTTTAAAAAAAAATGAAAAATGAATTTAAAAATTGTTGTATGTCTAGAAGATTGAATTGCTTGATACAATAAACAAAATGGAGAGGCTTCTATATACATTTCATTAATTAAACATCTTACAATAGTAAACATTCCTGCTGTTTTAATTTATGATGAAGAAAATGCATATATTTCTGAAAAAGTTGATCACCATGTAAAAGCATTACTAGTTGTTGTTTTTTACAAAGGAGTATAAGTAATTTAGAAGATAAGTATCTTTTATATTTTCAGCATTTAAGATTAACCTCTTTTAAAAGATGGATTTTATTTATTATCTGCAAGGGTACCAAGGACATCTATCACCTTTCTAACTCCTTAACAGATACCACCAGAGATCCATATAAATTAAGGTACACAAACATTAATCTTGGCGGGTTTTTTTTCAGAAAAAGAAAAAAAAAGACATTTGCATCTTACAAAGGTTATTCATCAATTATAGCATGCCGGTTTAATGTGTAGTGACTGTTAATTTTAGTGCCCATTTAAATGTTTCAATACTTCATTAGGTCTCAAAATAGTACTGGTTTTCCAAAATAAGCAAGACACACTACACCAAAATGCTAATAATAACGATTGCGAGAATAACGATTAGGAAAGAAACATTTATTCCACTTGCCTTCGTGTGTTTCCAGTATGTGCATGGTGTCTCCTATTTGCAGTGACAGCTCATCTGGACCTCGGGCGTCATAATTATAGAATGCTAAAAGAGAAAAGAAGAAAAAGGGTCATTATTTTGGCATTTTCAAAAATGCCAGAAGGAAACACACCAAATGAAAACACACACACACACACACACACACACACACACACACACTTTATAGCCATTATTGTGCTGACATAGTTGAAAGCACTTTAACCAAATCAAAGTCCCTCAAACATTTATTTATTGAATTTATACACCACCTAAGTAACTTTGTAAAGCAAAGTTTTTTTAAAAAGGCAAAGGATACCAAGTTGTACATGTCTGTCCTGAGTAATCTTGTGGTTGCACTGCCCTAGGAACACTCGGTGGATAATATGGGATAGGCCTATGGCGGTTCACCGACAAATGCGCGCTCGACAAAAGCACACCGACGAAACCGCGGTGAGAAAACCGCAAGGGTTGAAATCGCGCCGATGAATGCGTGCAGAAGCGTGCCGACAACAGCGCACCGACAAAAGCGCCCCTTCAACAAACAACTAATAACAACCTAATAACCCTAACCCTAAACCTAACCCTAAACCTAACCCTAAA